GTAGTACTAAACCTGTTCTAGTAAGGTATGAGTAAAATGTATTGTTCAATGGTCCGTGTGGTGAATTCGATGTATGGATGATGTTTTTGAGATTTTGCATTCCTTGTTCTTTCGAGACCGTGAAATGATTTATTGTTTTAAGTATTGACAAGGAGCAACAATTATTGGATATTTATAATAGTATGTGTGATTCCACAGAAGGTAGCTCAAACCGTCGTAGCAGTCCGGTAAGCTAATTTTCTGCTATTTGTTTTGGTATGCTTTGTGCTCCTTTTTGATATAACGAAGTTGTTTTTAGCGACCTGGTTATACTGGTCTTTATAACATGGGTAATACGTGTTTCATGAATGCAACCCTTCAGGTGAGTTCTTTTGATTTTGTCTCCTTGCACCTATTTCAAGCTTTTACCAAGTTGCTGATGCGTTCACTTTGCTTATATTCGATTGATAGATCCAGAATGTGAAAGCAGAGGCGCTTCCGCGATCAGTTTATTGGAGCATTTCTGCGGTGAATGGAAATCAAGCGTAAATGTTGAAAACGAATGCTAATTTTAAGGGCGGCGGTAGCAGTAACTAAAAGGCGCTGCTTTGGTGGGTAAATTGGGGAGCTTCAGCCCTTCGGGGGTCGTAGGCGGATATGATCTGACAGGGAAAATTCGAATACCTTAGGATCGAAAATACTGTTTACACCATTAACGATCGGAAGGTGGTGAGGAAGTTTTATTCGTCTTGCGGAGGGGGAGGTCGCATTGCCGAAATGGCTCCAAGTCCTCCTTTAGACTGCTCTCATTTTTATTTATTTATTTTCACAAAACATGGCACGAGCAGTGTATCCGAAATTCTTGTCTTTATGGTCCACTTGTATGTGATTTTGTTGCTTTGACTGTCTTGAATGTATTGTTTGGCTGATTCACCGATCAGCCGTAGATGTTCCATGGTCGTTACTTGTCAAGAGGCCGTTTCTAGTGGAGGAGAGACACCGCAAAAGTGACGATTTCTCTCGAACCGCTGTTTATGTAGTCGTATAAGGGGTTTTAGTATATATATGTAGGTGCGATAGAACACAGTGCGAGTGTATGTAACCTCCCCTTCAAAAAGCGAGAAAGTGTCGGGTGCGGATCAAACACCACAACTGACGACGGCTTCTAATCTGGTTAGAAGTTGTGGGTCTGTTGGCCGACGGCGCGGCAACTGCTATTGACAAAAGAGAACATGTTAGAGCCTAGTAACATATACGGCGGCTCTCACTCAGCAAATTAAGACATGTTAAGAACCTTGACGTATTCTGGAAAGATCTGACCTATTTTCTGCCCTACCTCTTTTCTTTTTTTTCCACATCCAGAAAAAGGGGCGCCCCACAAGATATCGGGCTTCTGTCTTGAGGGGTGGGCAAGAGCTACGAAAAATACGAAAATCACTCACTCGCTTGGAGTCTCCCCTTCCCCCACGAAAGCTTACTCCCTTTTTGAAAACAAAAAAACAATCATTGACGCGGTTTTACTTAATGCGTTGTCGTCGTATACACGCATCTCTTGCCATAGGGCCTTATTTTGTTGAGAGTACTTTTCTTTGAAGCTTTAGATGAATTTTGGATCTTTACATGTTCTGTTTTGTTTGCTGTTAGAAGGCGTTGCACTTTTTAACACGTTTTGTTTCGTTAGCAGATTGCGTCAGCAGATGCCCCGCCGTCGGCCAACAGACCCGAAGTTGTTCATAGTGACAGCTGATTTCTGGTGAATGATAGTTGTAATTAGTGACAATCGGTAGAATAGAATTGCTTCGCGAACTTCGAGGTGCCTGTGCTGAGTTCGCGGGCACCCATCAACTCGGCCGCGTTCGCCGCGGCCGCGCCCAAATGGTTAAGTATTGTCTGGGAGCCGCTACAGGCTAATCATTTCATTGGCAGAAAACATTTACATTTTGTGGAGGCCGTCGTCACTTGTGGTGCATGGTCTGCACCCGACACTTTCTCGCTTTTTGAAGGGGAGGGTACCTGAAAGTGTGATTATCACGATTATAGTATAACTATCGGCACCGGACTTGCTCCAAATTGGTCTCGTTTTCGTGTAAAATCGCCTGATATTAAGTCCATGAGAGTGTTGATTGAGTACAGGAGTGCAGTTTTCTTTTTGTGGAGCGTTAGAGCATGGGAGCCTATTTTGGGCGGCACTTCTGGGCGCACGTTATCCGAAAATTCATAACTTACTTGTAAAATGTCTAAGAAACAGCAGAAAGTAGACCGAAGTTAGCCAAAGAGGAGGAAACAAAGTTGTGATAGGAAAAGCGTTATTGTACAGGGTGGAAAAGAAGTAAAAAATTCGGAATTATTTTCTGAGATAGCTGGGAAAAGTGGATGAAGTGGAGCCAAGGAAGGAGATCAATGGTTAGTGAGCGTGCACACAGGTGGACGGTGCCTGAATCAAGTTTCGGTTGTTTCGTTTCATATCACTGATCCCTTGATAGAAGCTATGTGGATGAGCTGCCTCCAACATACATTGCTGGAAATCAGCAAAGCATGCTGGCAGTAGCTTATCCACGCACTTCTAATGATTCCTTTTCAGGCTTTGTTCCACACACCATTAATGCTGTCAATCTTCTCAAAAGAAAATTTCATGTCTCGTGTTAATCCGTGAGTTCTAACCGGCTTCCTGAGT